GAATAATCTAAGAGGTTACTGGGGAGAAGTCCCAGCTGGTCACTAACATCAGCTGCACTTTAGCTCTCTCATCTGTCACCTTACCACCATGGTCACAACCATTCCCAGGGATGAGGAGGAAGGAAAAAAAAGAATAGCAACCAGTAATAGCATGTTTACTGGAATGTGCTGGAAAGTTAACCATTTAGTTAAGGTTCTGGGGAAGCTGTAACTAATCCAAGCTGTTAATGGAAACTGCAAGGCTCTCAAAGGCATGTTGCTGGGCTGTCTCCCATGGAAATTCCCAAGAACAATTAACAAGTGGCCATGAGCCAATTAACCATTAACACAAGTTCTGATGCCCAAGGCCCTGCATAAAATTATTGGCAATGAGAACTACACTTAACTCCTAAAGGAATTTTCAAGGTTTTATTCTAAAGATGAAATACAGGGTGGACATAAAGTTCATGTGCAAATTTATAAAACTGCACAGTAATATCTGGCCTTGTATTGCTCAAAATCACCTATCTTGGGGCCCTCCAAATAGCAGGGATTTATCATGTGAGGAACAGAGGAAAAAAACTGATAAAAAGCAGCCAGATTTGGTGGCTCATTCCTGTAATCCTAACACTCTAGAAGGCCAAGGCAGAAGGATCTCTTTAGCTTAGGAGACTAGCCTGAGCAAGAGTAAGACCCTAAAAATAGAAAAAATTAGCTGGGCATGGTGGGACTCACCTGTAGTCCCAGCTACTTGGGAGGCAGAGGCAAGAGAATTGCTTGAGTGCAAGAGTTTGAGATTGCTCTGAACTGTGACACCATAGCACTCTACGCAGGGCGACAGCTTGAGACTCTATCTCGAAAAAAAAAATCCTTTTTTTTTCCCCCCAGACAGATTTCACTGTCAGCAGGTCCAGAAGGCAAGACTACATGGCATCATCATAGTTCACTGCAGCCTCAAACTCCTGGGCTTAAGAGATCCTTCTGCCTCAGCCTCCCAAATAGCTGCAACTACACACACATACCACCATGCTTAGCTAACTTTTTTATTTTTTGTAGAGAAGACATCTTCCTATATTCCTCAGGTTAGTCTGGACTCCTGGTCTCAAGCAGTCCTCCCACCTTAGCTCCCAAAGTGCTAGCTAAGATTATACACATAAGTCACCACACCTGGCCAAACTTCTACACAAAAAATTTCCAATTCTGGAAACTGTACAAGTCACATAAATGGTGTGTGAGGCTTCCTGGGAGTGGTCAGTTCATAATCTCTACGTGTTTTCCACCGCAGGTTGGAATTCTCTCTGGAAGACTAAATCAGGGAGCATTCTCACTTATACAAGATCAGCTTTCCCTCACCTCTGTCTGCAGAAGGGCTGGAGTCAGGACACTTTGCCAAGCTTTCAAATGTCAGGGCATCTACCACCCTCCTTCCTACCTGCCCTCAACCACTTGGAGTTTTACCAACACATCCATTTTAGACTACATGATACTTACCACAAGGAGCCCCAGATTCCTGAATTAACCCTTAGCCCCACACAGCCTATTTTGTCACCATCTCCCCATCTCCAACTCCTGGGCCCAAACATTTTTCTTACTGTAACCAGAATCTGGCTCTCCCCTGAGGATACGCCTGCAGCAGGTCTTCCTACTCCTTGGAAATGCTTCAACTCTTCTCCCCTAAGACCCCCCAGCTGCAAATCTCAAGTCATCAGAATACATCTTCACCACCCCACCTTATGCATCATCTGCTGACCTAGATCATTCCTCCTCTTTTCTCTATTAATTTTCTCTCACACATGGCCTGGTGTGGTGGCTCATGCTTGTAATCCTAGCACTCTGGGAGGCCAAAGTGGGTGGATTACTTGAGCTCAGGAGTTCCAGACCAGCTTGAGACAGAGTAAAAACCCTCTAAATATAAAAATAGAAAAACTAGCCGGGGACTGTGGTAGGCGCCTGTAGTCCCAGCTACTTGGGAGGCTGAGGCAAGAGGATCGCTAGAACCCAGGAGTTTGAGGTTGCTGTGAGGCATGATGATGCCATGATACTCTAGCCTAGGGCTAAAGAGTGAGACTGTGTCTCAAAACAAAATTTATTTTTTTCTCTCACACTGATCCTATCACCATTCTTGGTGATTTCCACAGCTGGTGGGTGATCCTCTGGCCTGCTAGCTCCCTGATCCCTCCTCCAGTGATGATCCTGTCCTCCTCTCAGACCCTCCCTCTCATGGCCACCCCTAGACCTTCTCTCAATAACTGCAGCCTCTTCAGAATCTCAATTTAATGCATCTCATGCATTGCTCATTGTATCCTATCTTTCTAGTTCATTCTCTCCAGAACCTCAACTCCAACAATCTGTTGGTCCCACTACCTTCCCAGGCTCTCTCTGCTCCCTCATGTCTTCACACTGATTACATTCTTTTTTTTATTTTTCGGGGCAGAGTCTCACTATGTCATCCCTGGTAGAATGCCGTGGTGTCACAGCTCACAGCAACCTTAAACTCCTGGGCTTAAGCAATTCTCTTGCCTCAGCCTCCCAAGTAGCTGGCACTACTATTCGGTAGGTGCCCGCCACAATGCCCCAGCTATTTTTCTTTCTTTTTGGGGGGTGGGGTGGGGAGTGGGGGGTGTAGTTGTCACTGTTGCAGGCCCAGGCTGGGTTCAAACCCGCAGCTCTAGTGTATGTGGCTGGCGCCTTAGCCACTGAGCTACAGGTGCAAAGCCTGGGCTCGGCACCTGTAGCTCAGCGGCTAGGGCCCCAGCCACATACACGGGGACTGGTGGGTTCGAACCCAGCATAAGGCCTGCCAAACAAAAACAACTACTGGGACAAAAAAATTGCTGGGCGTTGTGGCGGACACCTGTAGTCCCAGCTACCTGGGAGGCTGAGGCAAGAGAATTACTTAAGCCCAAGAGTTTGAGGTTGCTGTGAGCTGTGACACCATAGCACTCTACCGAGGGTGAATAAGTAAGACTGTCTCAAGAAATACACAAATAAATTCCTTGACGAACTATTATAATCACTCCCTCTCACATTCTCTACCACTTCCCCTTCTCTCTATATTCATCTGACAGCACCTATGGATAGAGAAACACCTCACTTAGTGGTTGACCTTGCTTCCTGAGAAAACTGAAGCAATCAGAAAAGAGTGGGAAAAAAATCAAAACTGCCTCCTGCCTCAGATTATAAGCTGTTCAAGCTTTCAAACAAACAGAACTTCTGATAAGTGAGGGCATTAGTTCACCCAGCCAGACACTAGTACTTCAGAAAGGTCAGTAGGTCCAGCCAGCTAAAGCAGTCAGGACAGCCACTCTGAACAGAGAAGGCCTCTGCAGTTAGACCTGGCTTTGTCAAATATGACTGCTGTGTGACCTCAAACAAGGCCTATAACTTCACCGCTGCACCAAGCTGTTTTAAGAATTAAACGACACATCCAAGCTCAGAGTAAGCACCAAATGCACTAGAGGTCAGGTAACTCAAGGGTACATCTTAACATAATAGCTTCATTTCTCAAAGTCCAAAAGGGCTGCCAAATTCTGGTTCAGACTGCAAGAATGGTCACCACCTACATTCCTTGATTCTTGCTTCCCTAGAGCTGAGCCTCTCCCCTCCAACTCAATTTCTTTTCCCTGCCTCAGGCATAGGGAAATTAACTAGAAGGTGCCACAGGTGTTGACTTGGCAGGTAGACACATCCTGCTTTCTCTCTTTTTTCACCAACTATGTTGGCCTATAAAGCCGTAGGCCATCAGCCTCCTGCTTACTTCTCCCACCTCCCACCCTCGTTCAATATCCTCCTCCCTCTTTCCTCCTCTAGTCTTGCTATCTGTACTTCTCTTGAATACAATCAAGCTTGTTCTGGCCTCAAGCCTTTGTGATCCTTTACCTCCAACTGCACAGAGGTCCCTAAGGTCTGTGTGTGGCAGCTTCACTTTAGAGCTCAGATGTCACCCTCCTGAGAGGCCACCCCCTCACGCCCCCACCCTGGCCATCTAAGCTAAAGACACCCCATCATCTTTTATCACCCTGTTAATTTCTTAGTGACTTAATCTTGCAGCAAGGGCTATTTAAATGTTTGCTCATTGTCTCTGTCTCTCCCATAATATAAACTCCGTGAATGCGGCTTGTCTGAAGCAACTGTTATCACCAGTGCCAGCACCATCCCTGACACTAAGCAGGGACTCAGTTTTGCTGAATCTATGAATTCTTTCGAGAGAGCTCTTTTCAAAACCTGCTGGTGCTTGTCTAAAGCAGTTAAGGTTATAACAACATTTGTTCAAAGAGAACTTTCAGGCCAAACTACCTTAGAGTGTGGAGTTTTAAATCACCTTATCCACCACCGACCTCTAAGGGCCAATCCAAAGAATCAGACTGCAGCTGCTCAATGCCAGTACTTATACACCAAGGCGTTGTCGCCTCGGCAAAATGTCCTCCCTACCAACACTTGCTGCTCCCCCTTCCTTTGGATTATCACTGAAAAACACCTTCCTTCTTGGGCACCTACTCCACTGCAAGTTAGCTAGGAAAGGTCCTAGAAAGGTTGATGCTCAATTTCCAAAGAGGTGGGGGTCGAGGCTTCCTCCCAGAGACCAAATCGGCCACCAGGTCACCTAATCAAACCCCCACCCCCTCCGGCCTGGCCGCCCTGGGTTTTCTTTGGCCGTGGAACTTTCCGCCGCCAGGAAGAGGCTGGTCTTCAATACGGGCTCCTCAACCCCTTCCTGCCACAGAAAAGACCAGGGCCACTCCTTCTTTGTCAACATCCTCAGTTTTCTCCCTCACCTGAAGGAAACTTTCCTACCCCTCGCTCCTCCGCCCGTCCTCACGCTCAAGGGCTCGCAAACCTCGTCTCAAGGTTCAATCCCCAGGACCAGCTCCACCACACCCCCTAATTAACCGCCGCCAAGTCGCCCCCAATGTCCTTCCTCACCAATTCTCCCTGCTCAGACCAATTTACACCCCGAACGCAGCCTCGCTTCCATCCTCTCCGCCATTCTTTTCTCCCCAGGACCCCCGCCGGACCCTCACCCTGGATGCCGTGTTCTCCCTCGGCCGCCTGGGCCCCGGAGAGGAGCAGTGATGCCAGCAGGGTGAGAAGCGCCCGGCACCGCCTCTGCCCACACAGCTGCGCCATGACCCGCTCCACCAAGAAGCCCCCGCGAGGCCTCGAGCCGCAGGCAGTTGGGGTCTCGCGAGCAGGTGCGAGAAGACCCTCGCTGCGCACGCGCGCTGGAGGGTCTCACGTTCAGGTGCGGGCGCTACCAGAGGGTCCGCAAGGTGCCGAAGCTTCCAGAAGTCCTCTTTCTGAGACCTTCCGTGTTTGCAGTGCTTCAGTCCGCTCGTCACTTGCCCCTTTACCCTCAGTGGCACTCAACAACTCTCTCCCTCTTTGGGAGCCCCGCTGCACAGGAAGACGCTCGGGAGGACGCCACGACCAATGGCGGACGCCTACAAGCAGCTGCCCAAGGTGGCCGCGAGGGCGGGCAGAGGGCGGGCGCACCTGCCGAGGCGGGGCGAGCGGGGCGCAGGCGCAGAGGGCAGGCACCTGAGCGGCTGCTCCCCGCCCTTGGCGCACCTGGGCCCGCCCCTGCCCTTGCGTGGGCTTTACCCCGAATGGGAGCTGGTGGGGTGATGGTGCACCTCTGCAGAGTGCCGAGGCTTCTGTCACCCTTACCTGTGGGCTGGGCGACGCAGTCTGAGAGCTTTAGCTATTAGTCTAAGGTGACCAGATTTTAACATTGGTAAAGCGGGACACCATTGATCCGGGTGGGGCGGAGGAGGGGTGTGGGTTTGTTTGTTTTTTTTTGAGACAGAGCCTCAAGCTGTCCCCCTGGGTAGAGTGCTGTGCCATCACAGCTCACAGCA